CACTGGGTTTAAAGTGTGCGTCCTGTAGAATAAAGACATTTTGTTCGGACCCAGTGGCGACAGAACAACAAGTGTAGTCTTGTTAAATGCAAATAACTAATTTTACCAATATAAAACTATTCTGACCCTTCAAAGATTAGCTGGGAGAGCTGTTCTGCATTACCATCTTGTCCCAGCATGAGAACTCTGAATCATATTTATATTTTTCCCTCAAAAAGTATCTTTAAAATAAATGAAAACTTTCTTTTGGAAAATAGGTAACTTCTGATACAGATTTTATACAATAGCCTCCATTTAGTCTTCTTTGCTTCTAGTGAGAGTTCCGGCTTAACTTGTCTAAGACTCATTTATCTTTTCAAAAGACCACAGTATCCATCTCACTACATACTCTGTAATCTAATCCCTAATAGACTCTCCTGAGCAAGATCAAGGTCGATAACCTTTAACCAGAGATAGTATTAAAAGGACGTTTATGAAATATTCTTTTCTCCATGCTTACCTGCACCACAGCATATATCATTTAGAATAATGTGAATATCAGGACTCAGATAACTGGATTCCATAATGTATTTCCTAAAGCTAATAAATGCTTGATGAAAAAGGCGAGCTGTAAAGGGAAAGAAAGAAAAAAAGGTTCGGAAATGCTTGTAAAGTTCCATATCCTAAAATATTAACCCAAATTGAATACACTAAGAAGTTGTTTTATGATAGGTCCTATAACATTTCAAGGTTCTTCATAGATACTTGGTACTCTTAAAACATTATTTTATTGGGTACTGATATTTTAGCATAATCTAAGTCTTAAGCAGCTAGCTTTTCAAATAGAATTTCCTCAGAATGGTTCGTGATGCTAAAAAAAGATCATGTTGTGGGAGAACTATATCTCAGAAGAAATATCCAATAATATCCAAGAACTACGCATTTCATACCATCTAGTCCATTTTCTGCCCCCAGTTTCTGTATTTCTTTCCTCTTGTAAAATTTATTTAATATTTTCAGCGCTTCACCTAGAAGATAAAATAAAGATTGTATCACACTAATCAATACAAGAAATGTTATAGAAATATACAGTATGCAGCTATTTACAACCTTTTATTAACAGCATTTAATTTATGTGTGTGTGTGTGTGTGTGTGTGTGTGTGTGTGTGTAAGTGTTTATATTCAGAGAGAAGCAACTGTCCCCAGACACACTCAAATCCATATTCTTTAAACCTGCTTCAAACTATTTTCTTCACAAAACATGAAGTGTTGAAATCCAAAATAAAGTGACAGGCCATTCAGATCAGGGATATTTGTAGAAACTAGTCAATGACTTTGGGAAAGGGGCTCTCTGTCACATCATAGATGGTCAGGATTTAAAATGAAACTAGGTGCCCTCCCACACAGCCATATAACTCAGAACATCAAGGCAGAAAATTCCACAAGATCTGCTTTGAACTGGGTTATCTGAGTCCACAATGCAATATACTTCAGTTCAAAGCAGATAATGTGGGATTTTACTCAGCTGTTTGGAACCTACAAAACACTGGTACGTAAACACTCATATGATATGAGGCCAAATATTTTTATTTGTGGAAGAAAAGCAATGATATACATTAATATACAATAGCATGTCCTTTATGGAAGGTAAAAGGCTACTGACATCTCTATTGGGGAAATTTTTCAATAAGCATGTTTTCCCACTCACCTTCAGGGCCCTTTCACACAGCCCTATATCCCAGAATATCAAGGCAGAAAATCCCACATTATCTGAGTGT